CATACTTAATTATCAGTTTTCTTTTTGCAAAATCAATTTCACTGAGATGCCCACTTGTTTATTTTCATGATTCAGAGATTTTGAATGTTCTTTTTTTGCATTAATGAGGAGTCAAATCCATATTTTGGCTTCATGTATTCATTCCATAATTTTCACAGTTGAAGATTGTCAGCACATGTGAACTTCATCAAACATACTTATTATCAGTTTAGAAGTTTCATACTTAATTATCAGTTTTCTTTTTGCAAAATCGATTTCACTGAGATGCCCACTTGTTTATTTTCATGATTCAGAGATTTTGAATGTTCTTTTTTTGCATTAATGAGGAGTTGAATCCATATTTTGGCTTCATGTATTCATTCCATAATTTTCGCAGTTGAAGATTGTTAGCATATGTGAACTTCATCAAACATACTTATTAATTTGGAAACTTTGTGAATGACCTGAAGGATTCTTCTAATTTTCGGATTATTGCTGCCAGTATCTTCGGTCTTGGTTAACTGCACCGTGGATGTTTATATATGCTGTTGGAAATCTAGTTGATGATTGTCCTTAAAAGTCTTTAATTCATTCTTCAATTTTAAAATGTCACATATAGAAAATGATTAAATCCTTAATTAGTGAAGATAGTCACTCTTAAATTTAGATTTTAAATAGAGGTGAGGATAGTTTTCTTCCTTTTTAGCTTTCTTCTCCCGTATTGCTAGTTTTTTAGAGAATACTTTGGTCAACTTTACAGTTGAGGCAGCCAAATGAAAAAGATAATTGTGAGGCCAAGACTAGCAGACAAGCATCTATCCCCAGGCACGGAAAAGTGAGTGGTGAGCCATCTGCCGAACCAGGGGCTTGTACTGGCAGTATGCATAGCAATAAATCCAAGGTTTCAAAACAAAACAAGCCTTGGAATCAAAAAATAAATGCTGGTACGGCCCTGTGACATTTTATTAAGTAAGGTTAACCTATATCTTTTAGCTATTGTGATGGGTGTACTGATTTCTATGTTGATTGATTCTTGCCCTCAGATCCTCCAAGTGGCCTGAATCCTGGAAATTGTTGTCGGTATGATAGTTCTTTAAGTAAGTCTGCAGCATTTGCTACTTTATTTTATCTTCCTTCTCATTTGCACATAAAGCACAAACATCTATGTTTTTATTTCCTATGTATTGATAGAGGAGTGCCCTTGCTATTTGCAGGCTTGTTGACAAGGAAATTTATCAACTTAATCCAGGAAGCCAAGGATGGGACGCTTGATCTGAACTATACTGCGGAAGTATTGGAGGTATAGAAACTATATGCCATGTGTTTTAAAACCTAGGTCATATATTGTAGTTCTAAGATATGTTGGTCCGCGCCCAAATTTACAAATTATTTATTTGGGTTCATCATAAAAAATTTATATTTTGTAATATATATCTAAAGCTTTTCTCCTGTACTTGTTTCCATAAATTTTATTTTGCTATTATGTCTGATTCTGATAAATCTTTTTCAAACTTCTTATGTGCATCATGCTGGTTCTTGCAGGTCCAAAAGAGGAGGATATATGACATCACAAATGTGCTTGAAGGAATTGGATTAATAGAGAAAACTTCAAAGAACCATATTCGCTGGAAGTATAATCTTTATCCTCTTGGTGGTACATGTATTTGTAAATTGATAATTTGACTGACCATATGACCTTTTAAACAGGGGAGCTGACAATTTGGGGCCAAAGGAGCTTGATAATCAAGTTGCTTTACTAAAGGTGCATCTAGAACTACATGGTCTTTTTCTTTTACTTTTGTTCCTAATAGGTTCGTTGTTCTTGAAGAATGATTACTTATTAAATTGTGATTCCTACAACTCATCCTGTCCTATATGTTTCTTGCCCTGTTGCCTGTAACATTGGTGCTGGCATTGATAACAAACTCTGTTTAGTTATGTGGTCCTCAATATTCATGCTACTCGTG